GTCGATGCAGCCTCGTCTCGCCTCGCCTCGCCCCGCCACGCCTAGCTTCGCGACGCCTCGCGTCCCAGGACATACGTGCTGGCATGCACGCGACGCTGCATCCTTCCAACCGTAATAATTGCGTCGAGCGTTCACCGGCAGAATGATTATTAAACGGTGGCGAGACTCCGTACCGAACCGAGTAACCGGTTCGCCGTTCGCCGTTCGCCGTTCGCCGTTCGCCGTTCGCCACCTTCCAACCAACACGATCATCACTCTCCCGACCGAATCCGCGTTTGCCGCGCTAGCTACTCCATACTCCGCACACGAGCAATCGGATCGATGAAAATTTTCACCGTCGTCGCCAGTCGTCGCCCGTCCTCGTGCCTACTCTTAAATCCTCGAGATACGAGGACAGCTCCGAAAGGAGCGGACCTGCCGAGGGGGAGCCGCGAACTTGCCGTACACGCACGAATGCGCGCATCGTGGTTTTTCAATCGGGTTTCGGCGCATCCTTTAATTCGTCGCTCGAGGATAACACCCCTTCCTTCCGATGACCGTCGGCCGCCGATCCGTTGGTGTGCACGCGCGTACGTGTAGCCACGCACACGCCACCAACTCAGCCACGTTTCTGCATTTGCATTCCCGACGCAAGAGGTGCGCGCACGCCGCCAAGACAGGAGGCATCGAATGTTTAATTCAAGATACGTGAGAGTGTTGAGCTCGAGAGGAACAGGGAGGAGAGATACACAAGTTGCGTGCGTACAAGCGAGCTCTAGGGAGCGAGAGGGAGAGAGGAAGAGAACCGAAAGCGTAGGGTAGCAATTGATGGGACAGGGTGGCGCGTTTGTTGAGCTAATTACTGTAAGGCGAGGCGCTTACGCGCGCCGCTACATACAAACGGCATTAAAGGTGGTGGCCATCAATCCCCGTGGGTCCCCTTTTCCAGTCCTGGCAACTCGCCTCCTCCTATCCTCCGCCGTCTTCCCTACGCGGTATCTCTCTGTCTCCGAGAGAGCGTTCTCCTCACAGGCCACGCGGCCCTTCCACGCGATACGCCCGGTTCTGTGGTATTAATTGGCGCGATCCTCCGTCTTGGCCGTCCTTTCGAAATTTCACGGCCAAACGAGACGGGAGAGAGAGGTAGAGCGTGCGGGTGCCGAAACGCGTCGTCGTCGGGTTGGCCGTTGGGACGATACGGAACGAGGTGTATACGCGACTCGTGGTGCGACCATCTGACGCGACATAAATAATCGCAGCCGATAATTAAGATGGCGTTTCGGCGCTTGTGCGTGTACAGGCCGACACCCGCTGTCTCCTCGCGACGTGGCATCGGGCTCACGCGTGTAGACACGCGAGCCCGTGTCCGAGCCATCGAGGGAAAATATATCGTCCGCCCTCGGCCCATTCCGCCTCGATTCGCCGCTCTCGCTGTTCTCTGTTCGTTCTGCGCTGTTCGCTGTTCGCTGTTCGCTGTTCGCTGTTCTGGAATGCCAGCGATTCTCGCGAACTTGGGCACACCGAATATCGTCGTAATGGGCAAGAGGTGAAAAAGAGAAAGAAACCTGACGAGAAGGAGGAGCCGAAGCGGGAGAGGAAAAGAAGAGGCGAACCGAGTGCCGTATGCGAGAGCTCCGCTGTCACGGTAGAAAGTATTGCGTGGATTCATCTGGATAAACCTTGCTACGATCAATCACTTCGCGATTAACCCAACTGCCTACGAAATTGAACTCGAACAGCCTAATTTATAGCGCTTTTTCGGGATAAGATAACGACGTCGTAGCCGGTGACACGACCGCTCTACACCGACAAAACTGTCTTTCCTTTTCCGACCGAACCGCGCTAGGACCACGCGGATCCTTCGATAATTATCCCCGTTATTATCTGTCTAAATAAGTGACGCGGTAGAGCGGCATCGCCGGGGGGAGAATGTTGCGCTGCCGGTGACATAAGTTGCCGAGTGTAATTAGGGGAATAAAGTCCG